TGCACCAAAATTACCCCACTGTAAAATTAAAAAAACACTGAGTGTTTCAATTAAATTTAATTAAACAATGTTTACATACAGTATGTATAAAAGTCTACATTAAAATCTGTCATATAAATTGGTCTCTTCATTAGAAATTAGCCTACTGATTGCCACCATTGATGGACAAAATAATATTAAAAATATCTGTATGACATTATATTCTGCAGTTCTTCCCTGTTGTACCGAATATCTATATTTTTCAAATGATCATATCGAAGTTAGAAATTCAAATATTGTGACAAAATGTGTTTTGTAGGGTGCCACAAGTTTGTTAAAATTTCCAAAGTGTGCCGCCACTAAAAAAGGTTGGGAAACACTGGTCTAGAAAACTAGTCCTGTCTGAATAGGGCTTACGTTTGATTGAACACACAGCCTCTGACATCAACAACCAAACATAGGAAGTGTTTTCTCCTCCCTTTTGAGAAGTAGTTTCTGTCCTGACTGCGTTTCATTGCCGTACGGCCGATGCTACCTCAGAGTAGGGCGTCACGCTGGCGAACTCCTGATGCAGCTGCAGCAGCTGGATGAGCTCCGGCTGTCTCTTCGCCGTCTCCACCGCAGCAGCTATAAACTCATCTGCTTTGGAGGCGAACTCGTATGCAGCGCTCTTGGAGCTGAAAGCGTAGTGTTTCTCCTTGTGCTTTAGGACGCCGATCTTTTGATTGCCTGAGAAGAGACACTAACATGTCTTATCAAAGAAAACAAATATCAAACGCAATGCACAGTTTCACTGTTTGTACCTGGCAGTAAAAGTCCACTTAAGTACAATACTCAAGTAAATGTACTTAGTTACTGTCCGCCTCTGTGTTTCAGTTACAATATTTTTAGAATTAAATTATTTGCTCCATGTAAAATAATTGAAAAAGCTTACAGGACACTAAATATGATTAAACCATCTGTTCACTATGGAAGCTTGTTTCCGCCATGGAATAAAGAATATAAAAAGGTAAATGTGACTTTTTACCTCGCATGTAACAGTTATGTTCTGTTTTGGTTTCATTTTCAAGGACTTTTAGTTTGCTAACCGTTGTTTCTTCTGTTCTCTGTTCCTGTTTGATCTTTAGTTGCTATGACAATTCATTATTTTCCTCACACCTGTTTGTCATTGAGGTCATTATCACTGTGCATTTAAGTTTCTCTTGTGTTGCAGTTCTTTGTCCGGTATTGTTTAAGGTTGTGTTGTGTGTAAGCCTTCGATCTGCAGTGTATTCATGTTGGATTTACTAGACTGTTGGAATTTTTCTACATTGTGCGATTTATTTACAGCAATGCAGTTACGTTCCAATTCTCAGTTTATATCTTGTTATTCTGAGAGAGAGAAGAAAAAAAATAATTGTGAGAGATAAACTCAGAACTGTAAGAGTTAATATCTAACATTTCTACTAAAAAAGAGTCAGAATTCTGAGTTGTAAATTCAGAATAGAGTATAAAAAGTCACAATTAACAGGTTTCCATAGTTTACAGATCAATCATATAATAAACATTCAAACCCATTGCTACACTATTTCTCCCTCATGTGAATGAGTCTTCTCTTTGAATGTAATCTTTATCTTGTTCTTTGTAAAGATGCTTTGAAATAATATAAATTCATTAACTATCAATAAACATTCAGCACAAACAGATGGACAACAGCATTACAGAAATCCCTCACAAACACATGCGATGTCGGCACTGTGGTCTTGGTGTGCACGGTGTCCTTCAGGAGCGTCATTCGAGTCTTTAGATCAGACTGTAACCGTGTCACTTCCTTCGCACTCTGGATGATGTCCGCCTGATGAAACACGAACACATACATACACATACATCATCATACTGTCATATATTCATCCTCAACATCATATTACAGCATCAGCAGATATTACAGCATTCTAAGGCATCGCAGTACTGAAGCAAAGGCTATACATTCTGATTCTAATAAAAAACAAATCTTGGTAGCACTTTACTTTCCCGCATGCACATACTATGTACTTATTATATTAATTACAATAAGGTAATAACTAGAGACTAACCCATGCAGTTACCTCATATCATGCACTACTTCCTTAGGTAAGTATACTGTTAGTACAGGTAAGTGCACGAACTGTAACATAAAGTGCAACCAAAATATTTCTGTAACAATCAGCCAAGTTGAGAGAAATGTTGAATATGAATATACTTATGTTTAAATTCAGTTCAATCACAAATGACTATTTTACACTATATTTCTGCATAACGCACATTTTGATGCTTTTTAGAGCATTGCATCCTACAGTATTAGCTTAGCAACATGCTAAAATGCCAAACTCTGTCCACCTTTTTCCTAACAAGCCTACTGCGCTGTAACTTTATGAAAAAAGACAACATATAGGCTACTGCGTTGTTGTGGTCTGCTGTCCTGATTTAATTTGCAAAACACACTATATTTCATTTAGAATCTTTCGTTTTTCTCTCGTCTGTTTCCAGATTTGCTTTCACGGGGATGTAGTAAAATGCAATTGTTACATAATATAGATATATCATTATAATGATATTTATCACATTAGTAATATTGCTGCAGATAGCATCGAGCTTAGGGGTTATTCATGGTATGTTGAAAGTAATTTGTTAATGCTCCTACACTTAAATGTTCCTCTGTATGTCTGATGGTTGGAGGGTGAGTAAAATAATGTCACGTCATTGTACCCAGTTTATGAAAATGCTTATTACAATCATAGAGCGAACGTTTTGCTGATTGTTTACAGTGTAAACAGAAGTTACTCCCATAATTTGCTTAAAACGTCATGGGGTGTAGGATAAAGGTGGATGGAGAACAACTGTGAGTCGAGTCTCTTGTGCAGTATTTGTGTGATCTTAAGAGTTGTGGCTCATGGAGACTGATTTGTTTCACATACTGTACAAATATTGTCAGAGACTGTCTTACTATAGGGAGATGGAGATGAGAGGGTTTGTATTACTTACTATTGGTAAGTAATACATATACTTACTGTATTACTAACACGGATCACGTGTGCCTTAATTAATAACCATTACAGCCTTGACGTAATTTATACCATAGGAATGAATGGGAAGTGCCGTCGCAAACAGTCAGTCACTTCTCTCATAAAACGGCATTTTTTCGGTATAAACTCTAAAAATACTTCAATCCAAAAGTATTGCTTAGTGTAAAACATGTTGAAGATTAGCTGATTTGGCTGTCGATAAATTAAATGATAAGCTGTTTCCTCTAAAAAGCTGTTTATTCAGCATCTCCTCCACGGACATCCATTCAAATAAAACGGCCTCTGGTCTCCTTTCCGTTAGCATTAGCCGTTACGCTTTTTTGGCTAATGGTTGCAGGTTTGCCTTCTAGTGGCTTTTTTTATTTTTGTAGCTCCTCTATGCCCCGCCTTTCTGAAACACGCCGATTTTTACAAAGCTCATCGGTCTGAAAAGCGCACTGTGCTCTGATTGGCCAGCTGTCCAGTGCGTTGTGATTGGCCGAATACCTCAAGCGTGTGACGGAAACGTTACGCCCCTCACCATATTTGGAAACATACAAAAGTTACTCCTTCTTTCTTTGCATAAACATTTGGGCGGCGTTATACAAATCTTCCCACACAGTGACATAGACGTGGGGGCGTGTTTAAACGAGCCGTTTTAGGAGGCCGTGGACGAGTCTTAATCTTTATAAAGAATATCTCTTTGGGTTTGAGACTTAAGTCTTCGCAACTTTACAGATCTTATATATGCACAAACAGCTTGTAACACTCCAAAGAGAAACTTGAAATTGCATCATATGGCCCCTTTCAGATAGACAGCAGAAAGTGAGGCAGGTCTCTAGGAGTGTGGTTAAGAGCTAATGCCCTGTCTGTCTGACTTGATGAGACTCTCTGTAACAGTGAAACCCACCAGTATGAGTCTGAGGAAGGCCTCGTGCTGTCGTGTGTTGTACAGAGCCTGTTTGAGCAGGTCAGGGTGGACGGGGCACTCAGTGCGCTCACAGGTCTTCTCCAGCAGGGCCGTGTACTGCCAGGCCCAGCGCTCACATCCCGCCAGTTCACTCTCTATATCTGCGGCCGCGGCCGGCAGCGTCTCGTTCAGAACAGCTGGCACTGCAGGAGACGCATGGAGAAGTGAGCGCTAACAGTATGAGGTCAGGATGAGTGAACTCAGGGAGACTCACGTACGGTTCTGGATGCCCTCTCCTCCTTTCCTGCTGTCCTTGTTGAAGAGGCGTATGCCGCTGACGATCAGAGAGAGCTCGCTCAGCTGCTGCTCTTTGTCTTGTTTCAGCAGAGACATGAAGGTGGCCAGCTGAGCCTGAGGAAAGATGCTCTGCAGAGCCGCTGCAACAAACAACATGCAGTCATCCTGTACTGACACCTGGTGTCATGAACACAGCATCATCACACAAGATCAAAACCAGCAGAAATGCTCTATCAGCAGTCAGCCGTGACTAAGAGTCACTGAGACAAACTACAGTATTCACTACTCACTTGGCAATGGATAATGTATTTATGAGTGAGCTGAGCAAGTATTATGCATTTAATCTGATTAGACACATAAAAGGTTTAAGTATAGATAAAGATTTAGATATACAGTATGTACTGTACATATATACTACTGGTCAAAAATTTCATCATAAAGATTTAGGGTAACACTTATAGCCTTTATATATAATGCACTATAAAGGGTTTTTAAATGCATTATAATTGCTCATTTTATAGTGCATAAAGGCTTCAAGTAAAGTGTTAGCAGATTTGTATATGTTTTTTCGAAAGAAGTCTCTTCTGCTCACCAAGGCTGCATTTCTTTGATCAAATAATATAGAGTAAAAACAGTAATATTGTGAAATATTATTATGACTTAAAATAGCTGTTTTCTATGTGAATATGTTAAAGGGTCATGAAACCCTAAAACACATTTTTTAGGTGTTAACAGGAATGTATAGATTTGTACATTGATCAAAATAGTAATAGGACTGATTATTAGCAATGTAGAAAACAGTTTTCTCCGCATTTATTGATGAGAAAGAGCTCCAAAAGAGCTCAATCCAATCACCACACACTATTATGAATTAATAAAAACGGCGTTATTATGCATGAGAATGTATCACTTCTGACTCTTCTTATTTCTGTGATGCGCAGCTGTATTTTCAGCATCATTACTCCAATCTTCAGTGTCGCATGATCTTCAGAAATCACTCTGATATGCTGATTTGCTGCTCGAGAAACATTTCTGATTATTAT